AGATCTTAACGTTGTCCTCTAAGAGCTGTAACTGCTTCTCAATTTCCCAAAAGGTAGAAGACAAAACAGAAGTGGAAGGCTCTCGTGGTGCTGCATCCTGGACTTCATTTTCTTCATCTCCAGCTTCCGCTTCCCCCTCAGCGACAAGCTGTTGTAGATCAGCTGTAGAGAGGTCTTCACAGTGGGACTCAAGCAGCTCTTCAACATCCTCACACTCCACTTCTTCAAATCCAGCTTGCTTTGCAAGATCAACACAATAATCATGTGATGCCGCACAGAGACTCTTTCGGCACTAACATTGTGCCTGCTCAGGACAAAGCCTGCAAAATGATCATGTGATGTCAACACGTACTCCTCTGCGCACTGATTGAATTGTGTTATAGCCAACACAAGTTCGTGTTTTAGAAATAGTGTTCCCCTATTCGTCAGTCGCGCTACAGCCATTTCAAATTGCTGGTACATGCGTTAAAGCAGAACTGACTGTACTGGAATAGTTTAGCTAGGGGAGCAGCGAGTTCTGGAGCACAAGCCTTCAGTACTAAAGCCCATAGCCTTTGCAGTATTCAGCGCCTCCAACCTTTTCTTGAAATCACATGGAGTGAATCAAATTGGCTGAAGACTGGTATCTGTAATGCTGGGCACCACTGGAGGAGGCCGAGCTGGATCATTCACTTGGCATTTCCGGCTGAAGATATTTGTGGAGCTTCCTCCTCCAGTGAGTTGTATAATTGCTCACCACCATTCGCAACTGGATGTGGCAGGACCGCAGAGCTTAGATCTGATCCGTTGGTTGTGGGATCGCTTAGCTCTGTCTATCACTTGCTGCTTATGCTGGTTGGCGTGCAAGTAGTCCTGTTTGGTGGCTTCACCAGGTTGACACCTCCTCTTCAGGTATGCCTGGCGCTGCTCCCGGCATGCCCTCCTACACTCTCCATTGAACCAGGGTTGATCCCCTGGCTTGATGGTAACGGTTGAGTGGGGGATATGCCGGGTCATGAGGTTACAGATTGTGTTAGGGTACAATTCTGCTGCTGTTGATGGCCCACAGTGCCTCATGGATACCCAGTCTTGAGTTGCTAGATCTGTGTGAAGTCTGTCCCATTTAGCACAGTGATAGTGCCACACAACATGATGGAGGTTGTTCTCAATGTGAAGGTGGGACTTCGTCCCATAAGGACTGTGCGATGGTCACTCTTACCGATACTGTCATGGACAGATGCATCTGCAGCTGGCAGATTGGGATGGACGAGGTCAACTATGCTTTTCCCTCTTGTTGGTTTCCTCACCACCTGCTGCAGACCCAGTCTAGCAGCTTTGTCCTTTAGGACCTGACCAGCTCGATCAGTAGTACTGCTGCTGAGCCACTCTCGGTGGTGGACATTGAAATCCCCCACCCAGAGTACATTTTGTGCCCTTGCCGTCCTCAGTGCCTCCTCTAAGTGTTATTCAACATGGATGAGTAGATTCATCAGCTGAGGGAGGACAGTATGTGGTAATCAGCAGGAGGTTTCCTTGGCCATGTTTAACCTGATTCATGGAGTCTGGAGTCAGTGTTGAGGACTCTCTGAGCAACTCACTCCGGACTGTATACCACTGTGGCACCACCTCTGCTGGATCTGTCCTGCCGTTGAGACAGAACATAGAATCCCCACTGTGTGGAAACAGGCCATTTGCCTAACAAGTCCACACAGACCTTCTGAAGAGCATCCCACCCTGGACATATCCAGGGACAGTGATGGTGGTGTCTGGGACATTGACTGTAAGGTATGATTCCCTGAGTATGTCTATCAGGCTGTTGCTTGACTAGTCTGTGAGGCAGCTTTTCCAATTTTGGCACTAGCCCCCTGTTGTTAGTGAGGATGACTTTGCAGTGTCAACAAGGCTGTTTCTGCTGTCATCTTTTCTGGTGCCTCTGTTGGTGCCAGGTGATCCATCCAGTTTCATTTCTTTGAGACTTGGTACAACTGAGTGGCTTGCTAGGCCATTTCAGAGGGCAGTTGAGAGTCAACCACATTGCTGTGGGTCTGGAGTCACATGTAGGCCAGACCAGGTGAGGATGGCAGATTCCCTTCCCTGAAGGTCATCAGCGAACAACATGGGTTTTCCCGACAATTGGCAATGATTTCATAGTCATCGGTAGACTCTTAATTCCAGATTTTCTTAAATTTATTGAATTCAAATTCCACCATCTGTAGTGGTGGGTTTCGAACCTGGGTTTGAATCCTACCACTAGGCCATCATCTTCTCTATACCGAGCCCTCTTCTGTCTATTCAAGTAAAACTTATAAACATTTCTAAAATGTTTAATTTTTTTTTAAACCATAAATTCTTCCAATGTCCAAATATGTCTCCTTCAGCCAGTGCCACAAACAGGTTAACCAGTCATTCATTGAATTTGTTTTTTTGTGAGACTTTGTAAATTGCAGCTGTGTTTTCCCACACAATAGTGACTACAATTCAGTTACACATTGGGACATCCTGGAGATGTGATATCATGCTGAAAAAATGTAAACTTTTAAAGAATTTGCAGCTCAGAAGAAGGCCACTCAGGTCATCTTGTTAGTACTGGCTCTTTGCAAGAACTATCCAGTTTATTTCACTCCCTTGATCTTTTCCCATATCCCTGCAAATTTTCCTTTGTGAGCATATAACAAATTCCCTTTAGAGAGTCACTATTCGTTCAGGCAGTGCATTCCAGGTCATTACGACCAACCACAGAAATTCTACTTGTCTGCTCCAATACTTTTGAGAATTATACTAAACCTTTGAAATTTTGGCTGTGTATATACCCTCTTCACAAACCCAGTGTCCTGTGGGTGGAGGTCATGTGTGGGGTGCAGGGTGTAACCACAGTGAGAGATTCAGTTTGGGCTGAGTCAGAGACTAACGTCAAATTTCACAAGAAGGAAATACTGAGTCAACACCAGACTGCCTGCTAACACAATACTGAATCAACATGGTCATTCTTTCAACGTTACTAATTTGAAGATGGTTTCGATGTTCTTGCCCATTACACTAACTCCAAGATACAATTAGAAGCACTATTAGAAAATAAGAAAGATTTGTTTACAAAATGGTTAAAGCTGCAGCTGATCTTAGCACTGGAAGGATTCCGAAAGCCAGGCTACGGAGGGCAAATCAGCTAAAGATCCCATTCCTGACTGTTGCCCCAAATAAATGAACAAGGTAATTCAAACATTCGGTATCTATTTCTTGACCCTACTAAGAGAGAATGCTTTCGAGAGTCTTACCTTATGGTCTGTTATCTACTTCATCTTTCTTTCATAAACTGTAAATTTTTTTTAGTACCGGTTCATGTGCTCGCTGTAGATTTTCTTTCTTTATTCTCTCTTTAGATGTGGAAATCTCTGGCCGCATTTGTTGCCATCTCTAATTGCCCTTGATGTGAGTGGCTTCTTAGACCATTTCAGAAGGCAAATAAGAGCTCCCCACATTGCTGTAGGTCTGGAGTCACACATAGGTCAGACCATGTAAGGACGGCAGATCTCCCCCCTTAAAGCATATTCATGAGCCAGATGGCTTTCTGTACATGATAATGGATGACAGTTTCATGGTCACCATTACTGTGACTAGCTTTCAGTTCCAGACGTTATCAATTGAACTTAAATTCCACCAGCTGCTCTGGCAGGTTTTGAACCTGCGTCCTTGGAAATTATTCTGGCCTTCCGGATTACTAGACCAGTGACATTATCCATGTTTGAGCTTACAAGTGACAAGAAACATTCATGTCATACAAGTGCCAGGCAAAGACCATTCCCGAACAAAAGAGAATTTAACCATCATCCCTTGACATTTGATGGCATTAACATTGCTGGATTGCCCACCATTAAGATTCTGGGGTTTACCATTGACTGGTAACTGAGCTGAATTAGCCATATATGTACTGTAGCTACAACAGCAAATCAGAGGCTAGGAAACCAGCAGTTAGAAACTCATCTCCTCAATCCCCAAAACCTGTCCACCATCGATAAGACACAAGTCAGGTGTGTGGTGGAATATTCCCCACTTGCCTGGATGGGTGCAGCTCCAACAACACTCAAGACGTTTGACACCATCCATGGCAAAGCAACCAGCTTGACTGATGCAACATCCACAAACATTCACTGCCTCCACCACTGACTCTTCATAGGTGCATCATCTACAAGATGGATTGCAGAAATTCACCAAGGCTCCTGAGACAGCACCCTCCAAACCCACGGTCACCTACATCTAGAAGGACAAAGGCAGCAGACATATGGAAACACTACCAACTGCCAGTTCCCTCCTAGCCACTAATCATTTTGACTTGGAAATATATTCCCTTTCCTCTACTGCCACTGGGTCAAAATCCTGGAATTTCATCCCTAAGGGCTTTGCGGGTCCACCTACAGCATGTGGACTGCAGCAGTTCAAGAAGGCAGCTTACAACCACCTTCTGAAGGGCAACTAGGGATGGGCAGTAAATGTTGGCTGGCCAGTGATGCCCATGTCCCACAAATGAATATAGAAATGATGTCAGCCTAAGCAGCAGTAGGATACTATAGTTAGCCAGATGTGGGATTGGAGATGTTGAAGTTAGTGGCCTGAATGGTGGGAGGTGAAGTTTGACCAGTGTTCCCATTCTTATTTGCTACCTAGCAACTATTGCTGAAACTGTACATGTAAGGTTCTTAGGAATGTGCACATTCAGACACACTGTAACACCCACTGTGGTTAAACAGCGTGTCAAAACTCTCACCGAAAGAAATCAGACTCTACAGCAGAGGGCATGTAGTGGAAATGGCCAGAGACAACACTGAGTCTAATTTGCTTTTAAGTTCATTTACCTATTTTTGCTACACTGAATATCTATGTAAAGTCTGTTGAACTTAATGAGGAAAATTTCAACTCAACCAGTAGATGCTGTGGAGAAGCGAATGTGGGCAGACTGTGGTGTTACCATATTTTGAATTGCCAGTGTGACCAAAAGTTATATTAGTTCTGATTGATTCCTATCAAAATCATGGATTTGGCATCTCCTGTTTAGGAGAGAATTAACAACAGGAAATAAGCAAAAAGAAGGTATGAGATGGATCTGGCAGATGAGGTTAAAGATCATCCCAAGAGGTTCTATAGCTATATTAAGAGTAAAAGGGTGGCTAGGGAGACAATAGGTCCCCTTAAAGATCAGCATGGCCGTCTATGTGTGAAGTCTCAGGAGATTGTGGAGACTTTTAATGAATATTTTTCCTCAGTGTTTACTGAGGAGAGAATCATGGATTGTAAGGAAATGAGGGAAATAAGTGGGAACATTTTGAACCGGATACATATTACCAGAGAGGAGGTGTTGCAGCTTTAGACCGCATTAAGGTGGATAAATCCCCTGGACCTGATCAAATCCATCCTCAGGCAATGTGGGAGGCTAGTGAAGACATTGCAGAGGCCCTTGCAGAGATTATTGCTTCATCTTTAGCCACTGATGAAGTTCCAGAAGACTGGAGGTTGGCTAATGTTGTTCCATTGTTTAAGAAAGGTAGCAAAGACAAGCCAGGGAACTACAGGCCAGTGAGCCTGACATCAGTGGTAGGCATGTTGTTGGAGAGGATACTGAGGGACAGAATCAACCAACATTTGGATAGTCAAGGTCTGATTAGGGATAGTCAGCGTGGATTTGTGTGTGGGAAGGCATGTCTGACAAATCTTTTAGAGTTTTTCAAAGAGGTAGCCAAGAGGATGGATAAGGGTAGGGCAGTGGATGGCGTCTGTATGGACTTTAGTAAGGCCTTTGACAAGGTCCCACATGGCAGGCTAGTCATGAAAGTTAGGTCGCATGGGATACAAGGAGAGCTAGCTAATTGGATTCAAAACTGGCTCGATAGTAGGAAGCAGAGAATGATGGTTGAAGGCTGTTTCTCGGACTGGAGGCCTGTGACTAGTGGTGTTCCACAGGGGTCGGTGCTGGGACCTCTGTTATTAGTTATTTACATAAATGATCTGGATGTGAATGTACAAGTCCTGATATTAGTAAGTTTGTGGATGATACAAAATTAGGAGGTATCGTTGATGGTGAGGAAGGTTATCAAAAATTACAGAGGGATTTTGATCAGATGGGGAAGCGGGCTGAGGATTGGCAAATGCAATTCAATACAGATAAGTGTGAGGTATTGCACTTTGGAAAGTCAAACCAAGGTAGGACTTATACAGTAAATGTCAAGGTCCTGAGGAGTGTTGTAGAACAGAGGAACCTAGGAGTACAAGTACATAGTTCATTGAAAGTGGCATCACAGGTAGACAGGGTGGTGAAGAAGGCACTTAGCATGCTGGCCTTCATCAGTCGAGGCATTGAGTAAAGGAGTTGGGAGTTATGTTACAGTTGTATAAGTCGTTGGTGAGGCCGCACTTGGTGTATTGTGTACAGTTCTGGTCACCCTGTTATACAAAAGGCATAGTTAAACTGGAAAGTATGCAAAGAAGATTTATGAGGATGTTGCCAGGACTAGTAGGTCTGAGTTATAGGGAGAGGTTGGCCAGGGTAGGACTTTATTCCTTGGAATGTAGGAGAATGAGGGGTGACCTTACTGAGGTGTATAAAATCATGAGGGGCATAGAACATAGAACATAGAACATAGAACATAGAACATTACAGCGCAGTACAGGCCCTTCGGCCCTCGACGTTGCACCGACCTGTGAAACCAATCTGAAGCCCATCTAACCTAAACTATTCCATTATCATCCATATGTTTATCCAACGACCATTTAAATGCCCTTAAAGTTGGCAAGTCTACTACTTTTGCAGGCAGGGCATTCCACGCCCTTACTACTCTCTGAGTAAAGAACCTACCTCTGACATCTGTCCTATATCTATCACCCCTCAATTTAAAGCTATGTCCCCTCGTGCTAGCCATCACCATCCGAGGAAAAAGGCTCCCACTGTCCACCCTATCTAATCCTCTGATCATCTTGTATGTCTCTATTAAGTCACCTCTTAACCTTCTTCTCTAGCCTCAAGTCCCTCAGCCTTTCCTCATAAGACCTTCCCTCCATACCAGGCAACATCCTGGTAAATCTCCTCTGCACCCTTTCCAATGCTTCCACATCCTTCCTATAATGCGGTGACCAGAACTGTACACAATA